AGAGGTGGATAATGAGGGACCCTGAGGAGAGATTAGCCTGGGTTATCTCTCAGCCAGATAACCCAGGCTAATCACGGACTCTGTGAGAGGCTGGAGGAGTAGGGATAGTGCAAGACTGAAGATGCTGCGGTGCCAGCTTTGAAGGTGGGGGGAGAGGCATCAGTCTAGACACGCAGCTGGCCTTGAGACGCTGGACAAGGCAAGGGACCGATCAAGTCTGTTGAAGCCTCCAGAGGGCCAGCACAGCCAACTGGACATCTGGCCCCCCAGGCCTGTAAGGAGACATGTCTGCATTGCTCTAAGTCACTCCATTCATGGAAATCTGTGTGAGCAGCCACAAGACATACTCAGGAGGGTAGGCCTGGCCTTGCATGCCAAAGGCAGGCGACTTCCCAGAGTGGATGGGGCACCGCAGCTGGCTATGGTGACAGTGGATCCCAAAAGTGTGGTAAAACATTCTGCCTTCTGCCTTGGCACCCCGACCCTTCTCCTGGTGGTCTTCAGTCTGAAGTCTTTGGTGCCCCGTGTCCTCCATGGCGATGGCAAGCAAGAGGAGTGCCAGTGTGCGCCTGGGGCAAGGACTGGTTCTGCAAAGCAGTCCTCCCCTCCTCTGCTTGCCCAGCAGAGCAGCATTGCTGGAGATGGCCCAAAGGTTTTGTCGCAGGTGTGTGGAGTTACAGGAGCACAGCACCAGCTGAGCCACGGAACTGCAATGTCCCCACCGGGCAAGAAGGGGTGAAGCAGGCACCAGGACTCTGAGAAGCAGAGCCACCACCAAAGGGAGCTCCACTCTCCCTCTCAGCCCTGAGGGGCCTTTCTGATGAACCCAAGGCCCTGGGTACCCGCTGCCTCCCCGAGGGCAGAGGACTGAACTCTGAGTGAAAGGGACCCTGGGCCACTGCATGCAAAGACAAGGCACACCCTTCACCCTGAGGGAGGTTTTTAGGAAACTAGCTGCCCACATTTGCAGCAGTGACCACAGGCTTGGCTGGCTGGATACTACGCCTGAGCAAGTTCCCAGGGCGGGAAGAGATCGTCACGCTGCAACTCGATCGCAATGAAAATATTTATTTGTGTACAGTCATCTAAGTCGACGGGACCAGCACAAAACACACGGCTGGTGCAACGCTGATGGGCACAGATGTCGACAAACACACCCAGCACGAACAGTGTGAGGGCTGCCGGGCCCTGGGGCTGCTCACAGAGACCATCTTTCCTCGGCAGCAAGGACTGTGGGGAGACGTGTGCGTCATCGCAGGCTGAGGAGCCTCCGAGATGCGGAGCTTGTTTCAAGGGAAGCCTGAGGTGGCGCTGCAGTCCTCCTGCTGGTCCAGTTTTGTGATCATTGGGTAAGACTCCGACTACAGCTCTAAGTGAGGAACGAGGCAGCTATAAAGTTAAGAGCATTCAAAACGTCACTTGCATACATTTTTTATCCTTCAGGAGCTACATGGAATAAACTAAAAGTTCACTTCCATTTTCCAAAATACTGACACTTCTACCTCCCATCACTGAGAAATCGGTCTGAGGTGTGGGAAGCTATTGTTGAGGTGTGGGCGTTGAAGTGGATTTTGTTCCCACTGCTTCACTGTTCTCTGGACATAATGGAAGGGTTGGCCAAGCTTCCTGATTCCTCTTTTTGGTCCCACTAGTCCCAGAACCTACCCTTTGCACGCCAGAAGCTGGGTCCTGGGTTAGAAAGTAACTCTAGTGGCTCCAACATCCGCTACCTTGGGTACTCAGCTCAAAACCTGGAAATGACCAGCTTTGTGAGGCAGGCTGGTGAGGTGGGGCCATGGCTCTCCCTAGGGCGAGTTTTCCCAGTCAGCACCAAGGCCACTGAGGGCTTAGGGGGAACCCTCTGCTATTTGTTCCCACCTCTTAATTCTGCCAGGGGCTCACCCATTTTGTCTGTTTCAGAACTGACTTGCAGAGCAGTGATGCCCACTGGCCAGGCAAGCAGCCCATGGCCTCTGGAAGTTATTCCCACCACACATGGATTCCT